CTCTCTCTCTCTCTCTGAGTTTATCCTTAAATCAAAGAAAGTCCGCAACCCGCCTCCACATGAATCTGGCAGCCGATCATAGAACTTCGCGCGTCTCGCGCAGGTTCTGACAGCCATGAGAACAAGTAGAAACATATCTTACCTCCTTAATTACGATAAAATGCAATTTACATAAACAGCAACAATAAATACTAGTTGAGAGTATGAACTAACATATATGAAGTATATGATATCAAGGGCTATTACTCCAAATCTGCAAACGAGATACGAAAAAGAGAAAAAGGGATCACCTCGCACCACGGATATCGGTATCACCACTTCCTTAGCATAGTAATTCATGGCAGTGATAAATCCAGTCCCAACATTGACTTCCTCTAAAAGGATTACGACCGCGAAGACCAGAATACATGCGAGAAGCCTGAGCCGGGCATTGAGTCCAGCGTCAGCTAATGGCCATACACGCATCCACGACTTCCTGTGCTTGAGTTTTGAAATTGCTTCACCTCGATAAGAAACGATAGAGACGGATAATTCCGAGCACAAAAACTAGTCAACAGATATGAACATCTAATGTGCAATATATCACATTTATTTCCTCAAAGGATCACAGCGTGAAATAACAAGTAATAAGCAAGTCAAGACAGTCATATATTACCTAGTACAATTTATGAAGGAAATAGGAAGAAATTCAGATCGTTGAGAAGTGAATAGCATGACAGAGAAAGATCCATTGCATAGAAGTATCTGACTACTGACTAGACTATATTGAGATTGGCTTACTCTTTACATTCTTTACCACGTACTCGGTGAAATTACGAAGGAACTTTGGATACTCTCTTTTATACACGTGTCGTAACGCAGCAGTTGGCACCCATCCACCAGGATGAACTAAAAATGTTTTTGCTTATATCAAACGTAGTAATCTATGAAAAACCTTACCTTGTGAAACGTATATTATTTTACACATGACATCATCTCGCGAAAGCTGTCCGGGGTTCTTGCCATTTTTAATCACTGTCTGGCAGATCATAGATACAGTAAGACCAACGCGAACGCCCGATGACGCTGTGGCCTATAAAAGTGAGTTTAGCGATATAACAGCAAAATGTGTGATCCATCCGCAACATGAGTGGTTGCTCTGGTTCTCTCGTCCACAATTACGTCTAATACTTTCGAATTCAGGAGATAATAACTATACGGCCATGTCACGAAGAGTGGATTGATGGTCACTTCCTATATTCATGAAAATACACCGAAAGCAATGTGTTGAGACTTTGGTAACTTTGCCATTTATGAACGGGTATAGCATAAACTATATATTTTGAGATATGAGGAGTTCATACAGTGCTGGCCAAAATTATAAGTCCACCCGGAAA